TGCATACTGTTTTATAATGTACTACAATACTGAAGTGCAGATAATTGCCACTATTTGCAACAAGTAGTATACATAGAAATCCTCCTATTTTAAGTGTAAATAGTGTAAAAACCTTTATTTGACCCTCTAACTCTAACACTATTCTATTTTAATTCTACTTTATCTATATGTATCTTTTTTTTTCTTTTTTTTATTCTTTATTTAAAAAAAACAACAACAAATAAAAACTAGCTTTCTATTTTTTCTATTCTATCTACATGTTTTTCTTTGTTTGTGTGTGTGTGTAATCCCAAACCAATGGCGCTGTCTCAAACTATACCTACCTCTTCCGGTTTGTCTGATTTGTCTTTGTGTTTTCTGAATTGTTATTTTGTTTTCGGACTTGTCGTTGTGTTTTCGGACTTATTTTGTTTTCGAATTTGTCATTGTGTTTTCTGACTTGTTATAATGTTTTCTGAATTGTTGTTGTGTTTTCTGAATTGTTATTTTGTTTTTTAGACTTGCATTTGCGTTTGTAATTTGTTATTTTGTTTTCAGAATTGTGATTTGTTTTGCACTTCTCGTTCCCCGTAGAAAACAGTATGAAATGCTCACTAAACAAGCCACGCAGTGCAAATGTTCATAATTTATGCACTGAAACTCATGAAACAATTGACTTGATAATTCTACTGCATGTAGTATGGACTTTGAAATAAGTCATTTTAATGTTCAGTAAACATGCAGTTACAGTGTAAGCTCATTAGGTGTGGTGTGAACATGTTAATCTCAGAGCAAAGGGTTTCCTCTTACACACAAGGCCAATTTGTAACTCCAGCCCCACTAATCAGTGCAGCGTGGTCCGACACAACACATTAAAACACTATGATACAATAAGTTAATAGGCACTTAACAGTTAACATAATGCACAAATATCATGCATATGTTGCCACAGTATATTTCTTCCTCGATCAAAAAACAGTATTAAGTCCATTACATAAACAACATTACCAGTAATAAAAATAAACATCTGTACAAAAGTCCTGCCAGTATTTTTATGGTTTGCTGTATTTTCCATCAATATAATAATCAATGGCAAAAAAAAAGTACAAAAATAAATATTCTATTTACAATCACACATGGCATTCAGGAATTAACGTCACTGCAAAACAAGAGGCAAAAAGACTGTTATTTTCAAGCACACACCTTCAAAGCAAATGGAGGTATAGAGTTATTCCTATCAGATGTTGAATCAACAAATACATCTCAAATCATATTCCAAAACAACTAGTCATAAAGTATCGTATTATAGCAGATTGAAAATGTTTAGTTATAAATTGAGTAATGCTCAAAATAATGTCTATGCACATAAACCAATTTGTATTACATTATATATTAACTTATTTAACTTAACATTAATTCTGTACCTCCATATCATGAATTCATAGCATGAGTTATATCATAATAAAGATGGTATGGACACAATTATTTAAAATCAAAATGTTAATATGATCATTCAATATAACTCACTTTATTCCAACACCCTGGTACTGGCAAACCATCATCACCCTAAAACAAAGAGGAGTGGTGAAGAATTGTAAGAATTAGTAATATTCTTGAGAGGGGTGACATAACTGTATCTGTGCACATACAGTATACATAATCATTTCAGAAGTCACTTTTGAAACATACATTTCCATTTCCCCTCTGCAGTAAGTTGATCAATCAATCAATGAATCAGTAGATGACTGTCCATGCGCACACACACACATACACATAAAAACTTACATAGTGACAATTGAAACTATAACTTTATAATACTTATACTTTTCTATCCATCTACAATATGCACATATGATGTACCTGGAAACTTTTATTCAAATCAAAGTGTTTTTAATTCAGATCTTGACAATTCAATCAGGTTAATTGGTATCCATGAAAATAATGACCAGTCAAGATGCCTGCTTTTTGCAACAATGTATTTCTAGTGAACACCTTCTCTCATGCAGATATTTGTAGTGACCCAGGGTGCTCCGATTTACTGGACTGAAACAGATGTGGTGAAATTTAGTGGAGGATTTAGTCAATATGCGGGTTAGTGTAAGAATAGTGGATACGCAGATAAGTGAACTGAAAATGGAATGCATGCAGTCATGTTAAGTAAACTAGTTAAGTAGCAACCATCCTATTTTACCAGTAATCTCAATATTCATGTTTCACAGAAATCAAGTTAAATAAGTTAAAGTTAATGTATTGGTAAAAAAAAAACAAAAAAAAAAATACGTTTTTCATTATTTTATTATATAAATCAATAAACTGAGTTAACCCTCTACCGCACGCATTATGATAGACCTATAGAAAAAAATATTTGAATCTTTTTCTTTTCTAAGAATGGCTTAACTTGAAGTGCTGTAAAAAATTTTTTGGAAAAAAATATTATTTTAAGGTACTTTATGATATGGCAGTCTGTCAGAAATCTCGCCACAGAAAAAAACTGCATGTCATGTGACTTAATCAAAGCACATCATTGGCTAAACTAAGGTCTTCTCTTTCCAACAAAAAAAACGAGAATGCTGAATTAGAGAGACAGTGGCAAGGAAATGAACACAAAGAGTATGTTGCCATATGGCTACACCATGCGGTAGAGGGTTAAAACAGATTTTAGAAATGGTTAATAATTAAAGGAATAGTTCACCCAAAAATTTAAATTTCCTGAAAATGTACTCGCCCTCAGGTCATCTAAGATGTAGATGAGTTTGTTTCTTCATCAGAACTGATTTGGAGAAATTTTATTACATCACTTGCTCACCAATGGATCCTCTGCAGTGAATGGGTGCCGCCGGAATGAGAGTCCAAACAGCTGATAAAAACATCAAGTAATCCGCATGACTCAAGTCCATCAATTCATGTTTTGTGAAGTGAAAATCTGCATGTTTGTAAGAAACATCTCTATTAAGATTTAAAATATGAGTCCTCATTCATAATATTGCTTTCACCAGTGAAAAAGTTGCCTCGTCTGAATCAGGAGAGAAGTATGCACAGATCAAGCACCGTTTACAAGCAAAAAAACAGTACAAAAGTTCTAAACAAATATTTCTGTGGATTTTGATGTGAGAGGACAATACTGGATGGACTTTCACTGGAGGAAGCATTATTATTATTTGAACATTTAGTATGGTTTCTTTTTTTACATTTGAAGAAGGACTTTTTTGCCATGTGTTCAAAATTCTGAGTCCTTGTTGAGAAACTTGTGTTTTATGCTCAGCTGAAAATAAGTGAGGCTATGTTTGGTGTGAAATGTATGTTTAACTTTTCTCTTGCACTGGAAGTATTATTTGAACATTTAGTATGGTTTCTTTTTGACTTTTGTTAGGACTCTTGTTCTCTGGAGGATTATGGTCCTTGATATGAAGACTGTGGAGGAAGTTTTAGAATTTCCTTTTTTTCACAAATCTCTTCATCTCGTCGTTTGCCTGTTATCTTTATACGGATCTTCCAACTTGCTATGAACTGTGATATTGATTACAACAGGCATATGGATTAAGATTGACTGTTATGCTGGACTTTTTGGGACTTCTAATGGAATTCAGATAAGATTTTATTCACTCTATTACTCTTAATTCATCATCCACGGATAGTGAACCTATTTGAATTCTACCTTTACATATTCTTTTGTTTTGATTTGGTGTAAATATAATGGAAAAAGGTTGAAATTAAATGATTTGATATGTTTTCCTTAAATTTTTCTTACTGAATATAAAAGACTATATTTTGCATTCAATGAGAGATTTTGATTTAGGCCTTGTATAGGTTGTATAAAAGATTTTGGGCTTAGTTAAACTTGAGACTGTTCCCATAATACTAACCAAAAAGCAATGGTTTAAAGTCAGAATGCCTTAATGATGAATTTGCTTCTTAAAAACATGCAGCTTTTCACTTCACAAGACATTATTGGTAGACTGGAGTCATGTGGATTATTGTGATGTTTTTATCAGCAGTTTGGACTCTCATTCTGACGGCACCCATTCACTACAGAGGATCCATTGGTGAGCAAGTGATGTAATGCTGAATTTCTCCAAATCTGCTCCCATGAACAAACAATCTCATCTACATCTTGGATTACCTTGGATGAAGGGTAAGTAAATTTTAATATTTAGGTGAATTCTATACCTCTAAAATATATTGATAGAGTTAATTATAGATATTAATACTGATACATGCAAGAATTTTCTGCCCTATTCTTTAACTATTTTCTCTCCATTCCTTAAAGTCCCTGTAAATTCAATATTAAGTGTGTTCTGAGTTTGTCACACCACAGAAAAATGTATTAACCACTCAGCCAAATTTAAATGATAAAATCCGCTAAGTACATAAAATAAGTTATCAAAATCTCAAAAAAATGGGCGGTATCCTCTGCTCTCAAAAGCTGGGGGCGTGTCCACTGTCTGCGCTGAAACCACGCCCACTAACGGGAAAGCTGCCGCCTCTTAACTGTCAAATACCGCTACAGCCTGAATGGATGCTCCTAGCAGCTTAATTGGATTTACAAAGCCATACATATTTGCGCCAGTGTGTCATCGACAGTTACTATAGTGTTTGGGGAGGGGCCATGATCGGTGGCTCCAGTGCGTCATCAAGCCACCGTTTTAGCCCCGCCCAAAAAATCCTGAACACAGAATTGGTGAAAAACTGTTTAACGGTTTAGCTCCACTATTCAGTACTGCAGAATTCACAGTCTTTGTAATGTGTTTCAGCAATACATTTGTAACATTTATAATGCATTTAGAAACAATTCTCAGAATTGACTTTAGAGGGACTTTAATCGGGCTGTGCTGAAGCATTATGCAATTAGAAAGCATTATGGGTTCGGGAAGGCAGGAAGCATGCAGAATAAGGAAAGGGATAGACAGCAGCATACCACGGGACACGGGGCATCTAGCCCGTCCAGGCCTGGCAGCCCCGGTTCACCTTTCTCCCCTTTAAAGCCTCGGAAACCCTGTTCATGAAATCAATCATATAAACATCCTGTTGTCCAGCCACATTGGCCGCTCTGTTCCAGCATCTGATTGGTCCAGAGCACACTGGACCCAAGACTGACAGGAAGAGACTCACTGCATCCACAGGGCAGGAAACTCACAACTAGTCCAACTAGAACTAGTTACTGAACTAGTGGCTCCATCCTGCTGTGTTCAGCAGAACCATATTCCTGTCAGTCTTAATCCTGAAAAGCAAAAATCCCTTTGAGAGTTCTGGTGCCTAGTCATTTTTAATTCAAATCCCAATCTATAATAGTTCTTATATAATTCATGAGGAACATATGAGCACAAAGTCTCTATATATGAATGTACGTCGCAATTCACTGACTTTGACCAGAACTCTTCTAGGCATCTGTTAGTGTTTATTGCACAAAGACAAAAGGAGACGTGGCTTTCGGGAAGTCTCCTTTTGCCTTAGTGCTGCACGTTGAACGAAAGACATACCAACGGACACGGGGCATCTAATCCCGGGGCTCCTTGGTCTCCCTTATCCCCTTTGGCCCCCCTGTTGCCTTTCTTGCCCCTCTCCCCCTGCAAACAACGGTGCATTCAAAAAAGTCAGACTTTAGTCCTCCTAGTTTACTATAGCAGTACTAGTAAGAAAAGCACCATCACTATGAATAACTAAGAAACTTTGGATGCTCTACAAGACATTCTAAAACTAGCTGTGTTTTTGAATGGAGCTATGATGAGTATTGGGATCATTTAAGGAGGGTAAGTGGAGGGGTTAAGGAGAAGGAGATCAGCCAGTGTGGTTAGTGTGCAGACTTTCATTTACTTGATTAATTCAATGCACATTTATTTGTATAGCACTTTTCACAATACACAATTTATACATTACAATTATTATTCTTTGTGTTTTTTTAGGCCACTGATATCAGTGGAATCTTGTCAAATGCATGTAAGTGACAATTTTATATAACATTGAATTTTTCTCATTAATTTTTTTTGCCTCAATTACATATACGCTACGATTCAAACATTTTTGGTCAGTACGATTTATTTATTTTTTTTTTTAGAAAGATGTCTTCTGTATCTCGAGTACATTTATTTGATTAAAAATACAACAGAAATATTCTGTTTTAATAATAATTTTGTATTAAATGTAATTCATTCCTGTGATCCTTCAGAAATCATTCAAATATGGCTATTTGCTCTTCTAGAAACTGTCGACAACAAAGTGCTGCTTTCTATTTTATGGAAACTGATTGCTCTGATGAATAGAAAGTTCAAAAGTACAGCATTTATAAATTAAACAGAATGAAACATTAATAAAAAAAATGGAATAAAATAGAAATATTTTGTAACATTATGAATGTTACAACATAAATGCTACTTTACTGTCACTTTTTAATTTAACGTGTCAACTTGAAGTGCCTAAAAAGATCTACATCTACATTTTCAATGTAAATAGCGTATTGGGTGATCACTTCTGAATAGAATGAACATTATATTTTTATTGCCTGATCTAGCCATCAAATGTTGGTTCCAATAAATAGGCATTCTGTGATTGATTCCATATAGAACTCAATTCAATTAAATATAATTGCAAAGGCTAATGTACAAAAGCTGAAGAGACACTAAAACAGTTTAATCAGCATCCCTATGCTTTATTACTAATTAAGACCAGCTTTGCTTTTAGAGAGTTTCATGATTTATCTTCAAGTCTGCGCGCAAAGTTAAAGTGTTCTTCAGAGGAAACTATTACATTTAAGCTTTATAAGTCTTCCAAAGTGGGATCTATCCAAGCTAGGATACAGAGTTCTAACATTCCGCACAGCCCTCATCATGACTGTTATTCTAACACTTAGCAGTGGAAGAAGAAAAAAAATCAGAGTGGAATTACATTGTGAATCAACATGGAGCTCATTTTCTAATCCTGTTTGACAAATACTGATTCTTTAAGACTGTTTCTGAACTTTTGGCTCCTGGCTGCAGTGTTTTTCCTAAATACTCTCATCAGAATGTCAAAATTAGCTCCACACTGACATAATGCCTTTTCCCACATTGCTTGGTTATGTGCCTTTTCAAAATAGATCCAGATGAGGATTTGTGGAACAATAAGAACTCTGTGCATTAGAACAATTGGGAGAAAATGAATGCAGGTTGGTAGGGAGGTCAGTGAAGGATATGAACAAAAGTAGGAGGTGAGGAAGAGGAGGAGTATTAACCCAGGCTACAACATTAGGATACAGGAGGAGCAGGAGGAGGCCAGGGAGTGAGAAGGGGACAGAGAGGACGACCCGGCCCGACTCCGCAAAAAGAGCCACGGACACAGGCCACGGTGCAGGGGGAGGAAAAGGGGATAGGAAGACCTGTGGAAAAAAAGAGAGGAAGACAAGGAAAGGACAAGAGTAAAAACAGCACCGTGTCCAAGGGTCCTCCACAGCACCTTCCACTCAGCAGAATTATCCAATACCGATCAGTTTGATTGAGTTTTTTGGTCCTGTTTAATACTACATCGTCAGTGGAGGATGCTGGGAGGAGCACTGACATGTCCTGACATTCAAGGTGGGAAACATTCAGTCATTAACTGAGGAAATTAGTGTTAATAGGAGAGAGGCATACAGTCTAGGAGGATGGAAGCATAGAAAAGCAATGGTCTATTCACATGTACTTCTTTTTATAATAATAACTCTTTTGGAACATTTTAACTTTAGCCATTTATATCATATGTCAGTTTTAGAGTTAATCATGCAAAAATATATATTTTTGTCTGTTTAAATGTGTCTGTATACTAAAACAATAAGAACTGCAAAAACTAAAATAATAATTGCAAATAAATATATGTATATAAGAATTAACAAATATACTGTTCTGAAATAAGAATATATGTTTAAACCATGATCAATGAACATACAGTGGCATCCAAAATACTTTTTTGGATTTTTTTTCTAAATGCAAATTTTTTAAATATAAATTAAATTATTAATTTAATAAATTTAACTTTAATTTCATTTGTGTTTGTGTGTGTGTAAATCCTGATGCTTCATTCATCATGATTTGAGAATGAAAGTGCATCTTGTGCTTCAATGTACAAAAAGTCACATGATCTCACAAATTGTATTATTTCATTAATGACTGAGAAATTGTTTTTTACTCATTATTTATGTCATAACATTTGTGTTTTCATTTTTCCAAATCCCAAAACTTGTTTTCTCAGGTTTAAAATTCCTTATTTTCAGACTTTTAGACCTCACTGTATATATACACTTATTTTCTAGCAGTAAGCAGTAGCCATTCTAATTTCTTATACCCAGCATGCTTCTGTTTGTCTCATTAACCAAAAACAAACAAAAAAAAAACATAACAATTGCAGTTAATATTGCATAATAATTTTTAATTTAATAAATTAAATAACCACAGTTATTTAATAATGAACAGTAGCTAATGCTTAAAAGTTTGGCAGATTCATGCTGGCTTAGAAATATCGTCCATCCCTTTATTTTAAGAAAGTGGACTCATGTTATTGTCCCTCAAAGTCACAATAACATATTCTACAAACAAACTATGATCAAGAACGCATTTATAATCTTACCCGGTTTCCTTTTAATCCCGGTGGTCCTACTAAACCCTGAATGCATGGGGGAGAGAGAGACGTTACTGATGGTCCATTTTTCATCTGAATGCACTTATACATGGTATGGAAACATTACAGTATTTGAAATGTTAAATTGTGCTCTGGTACAGCACTTACAGGGATGCCTTGAGGCCCAATTGGTCCAGCTACTCCCATATCACCCTTTTCCCCCTGTAACGTAAAAAAGGCATTATGTATTACGCTGGACATTATACTTTATACAATCAATGAATGCTTGATTTTGATTGGTTGACAAGAGGCCGTTGAAATACTGATAACACTCGCAGAGCAACTTGTTTCACTACTATCCTGCCTGTGTGTTAAATATCTAGTAATTTAATGATTGATTAAGCAATGATGCAATAAATTGTGATTCATTCAAAACTATATTTCATTTGGCGAGTTGTCATGATGCTTGCTTTCACACCTACAGCTTCATCAAGTTTTTTACCATTTTACATAATATGAAATATTACTAGAAACCCATTTTTGGAGCCCCACAGATTTGGTAAATTGTTTTTACAAACAAAAAACAGCACTAACCATTTCTCCTTTTGGTCCTGCAGGCCCAGACACTCCAGCTGGTCCTATCAGACCCTTTAAACAAAGAAAATGACATGCGTGAGCTTCAACAGAGGAGACGGCGGTGGGTAAAGAGTTTAGAGAACAGATAGAAACTAATCAGTGTTGAGCACCAATAGATCAACAAACGTTTCTGAGCCGAATAAGAGTAATTTAAACTCCTTATATGTTTAAAAAGAGCCATCTGAGGACCAATCTGTAGAGGAATTCCACAAAACTCCAAAGTTTGTTGATCTAAGCGGAAATAAACAGACACACAAGTAAATATAGCAGCAAATCCATCTTCTATTTTCCTCCCATGACTTGGAGAGGATTCAACAGAAGGGCTGTTAGACATCTTGCTTTTTCGGGAGTCTTGCTTCTCAGCCATTTGTACAGTTGTATGCCATAAAATCATAGTTCATGCAGACGCATCCCATCATGCTCTCTCCTGGTATGACATTACAAGATCAAAGCTTGTCATGGAATGAAACAAAGCTCTGAAGTTTGGAGCGAATTAAGCCTTCGAAAGGTCAAGCATGTTTGAATATGTAAAGGTATAGAGGGCTGCGACAGCATGAAATGCAAAGGGAATATTCGCTTTTGAAGAGCACTACGTGCATATTTAAACAAAAAACAAAGTGCATTTCAGAGAGAGAGAGAGAGAAATGTTTATAAGTGTTTGGCCATGCTTCCCTTCAGTCACTCGCGTGTTGACAGGTTGAGAAATCAACCAAGCACGGTACCTCTGGAAACAGCAAGAGGCAACAGCCAAACAGGCTTAGGGACAAAGTCAAATCAAAGTCATATTCATGCCGATGCAACCTCAATAGAGATCTAAACAAGGCCTTGACCATTAGACAACACAGAAAAGACAAAAACATAGAAGCAAGCAAGTAACAGTTCAAGCAGAGGCAGACAGACAGAAAGAGAGAAGCAGGCAGACACTGCGGAGGGGGAAACAAGAGCGGGATGGATGGAAATAAAGGGGTGGATGATGGGAACGGGTCTTGCGCCACTCACCACTGGACCAGGTCTGCCGTCTAAACCATGAGCCCCCTGGACAGTGTGTAAAGAGTTAGAGTGAGAGGAGAGATGGAGGTGGAGGACAGGGAGGGAGGGGAGAAGTGTGGGGGGAGGTGAGTGAAGCAGTGACTCGTGTGCCACATAAAAACAACACTAGTTTTGATGGAGGGGTGACATGTGAGAGATGAGCAGTAACTCCTTATAATGTGACTTCAGCTTTTATTGTCTTAGTGCAAGTGTGTCTGCTAGTGAACAAGACCTAAACTGGTCCATTCAATTGTTCATTTCAGCTCTATAGATCGTGATAAAATATCAACAGGCATTTAAATTCCAGGAGAGATGCAAAAACTAAAAATAATACTTGTAAGTAGTTGTTTGGTTCCAAAACCTAGTGAGTTATATTGCCATCTGCTGCCTTCTAAGGCTGCATGCTAACTGAAACGCAACCTCGTAAGAGACTGAATTGGAACACTATTCATAGGAAGTGCAAATAGCACTCCTCATGAGAAGTGCACAGGAGATTTGATTTAGCATGTCGCTAAGTTAAGTTTGATGATAGCATGTTGCTAAGCTAACAAAACATCCAGCGTTTGTGTCAAAAGTGCACATACAATGCCTTAAAATTATATCTCGGTAGGCAGCTCACTAGGTTATGGAACAGAGCACACTGTCAGGGTAACATTACCAATCCATGCTGCATTTTCTTAAACCGTATTTTAATCTTGTTTTCAGTAAAAATCAAACCTTTAATTTTGCTTGAAATTTACTTAATTACATAATGCACTGTTTTTCTTACCCCATTGTCAAACAGTTTTTGCTTGCAATATAACAAAGAGTGAAAAATTTAAGGGGGTCTGAATACTTTCCGTACCCACTGTATCTAACACAATGTTGTGAGATTTATGCTTAAAATAAGAAAAAACACTAATTTAACTGGTTGTATCTCATTTTTTTTAAATTAAAAACAAGACAAAAATACTGCTTAAGAAAACTTTGATTTTTTAGCTTCTAAATCTCAGATTTTTTTAAAAAGGAGTTACTGTGCCATTGATGATGTGACTAGAATAAGTTTATCAATGACTTTGACACCATAGATATACACCAGAAGTCAGCAAAAGACCCCTGAAATTCATAGTAACAAAACCTATAGCATGCTATTTACAGAGCAAAGAGAAAAAAAGATTATAAACAACCACATACAGTATTTTGTAATAATAACATGAACTTTAGTCACAGTAATCTGAAACCATCAGGAATTTGTTGGTAATCTATTAAAATGTGTATAAAATAAAGTGACAGGGCCATTACATAACACTTGTATATATGATTGCCAAATGTGGACATCCACTGATTCATGCAATGTAACAACACTTAGCCATGAACCATGACAGTTACAAAGACACATGAAATAGCAGCACATTGATATTTGCATTAAGGGGGGCTAGAGCACAAGCCTTACACAAAACATGCTTTTCCACTAACGCTGCACTCGGGAAAGACAAAAACATCTTGATTCACTTGACAAGATTGTATGAAAACGATCAGATTAATTATGCACTGGTATGACAGGTGTGAAGTACTCAATTTATTTTTCATAATGAGTGATTTGATCAATCGACAGCTTTTTATCTTACTGACTGTAAATGCAGTGCACATTTATCAAGTATCAAACACTGGATTATAAGAATCAGAAATGTACTTACAGGGAGTCCAAGATGGCCCCTGTCTCCTTTCTCTCCTTTCTGTCCAGGTGATCCCTTCTCTCCTCTCAGGCCTATTCCTGGTTCTCCCTGAAAAGAACATATGCGATTTAATGCCTTGTTTAGCATATGGCAGAAGACCAATAACAGTTCATTTTACATTAATAACTATGGACTAAAAGGGGCTTAGGTTGGAATACTTACCTTTGGTCCTGACAAACCTGGAGGTCCCTGATAAGCGAAAAATAATCAAATCAAAACTCAAACATTTTGAGTTGTTTAAAATTAGTTCCTCTTCATAAATACACCATCAAAGGGAAAAAATGCAATGATGCTACTTAGGTGCACAGATATGCTTGTAATATGTCTGCTGTTATCATAAGCTTTTATGTCCTCACCATTGGCCCAACTGGCCCTGCAGGTCCTGGAGGTCCAGCGGGCCCATAGACCTGAGACAGAACAGACAGGGGAGTCACCATTAAAGGGGTCATATGATGCGATTTCAATTATTCCTTTCTCTTTGGAGTGTTACAAGCTCTTGGTGCATAAAGAAGATCTATAAAGTTGCAAAGAGTAAAATCTAAAATCCAAAGAGATATTCTTTATAAAAGTTAAGAGTCAACCACGCCCTCCTAAAACGGCTCGTTCTAACATGCCCCCACATGTCTACGTCACGATGTGGGAAGATTTGCATAATGCTGCCGAAATGTTCACACAAAGAAAGAAGGCATAACTTTTATTCTTGCTGTTGCCGCTGCCGCCATGTTGTGGAGATGCTGCGTGTTTCATTGTGAAAGCGAAACTACTTTGTTTGGCCTTCTAAAAGAGGACACGACTAGAAATCAGTGGTTAAGTTGTATTTACAACACTGTTCCAGAACAGTTCAACCCAAATATTCAGATGTGTGCAGCGCATTTTACAGAGGACGAGGACTGTTTCCTGGGAGAGTAGACTACAATGCTTCTGTGCACAAAGGATGTTTCTATAAAGTGGGGCAATTCCAACTTTGCAAAGACAGTCTGGAGCTTCTGACTCACAGCCTGTAAGTACGTTTACATATTTAAAGAATTTGCCACTGATGATTCAAACGCGAGTTGTGAGCAGTGTAGAGTAGCGCTTGTTGTTTGTCGTTTCTCCAATCACAAATGCAGATATGGTTTTATGTTTACGCGGCGCGATGCAATGCAACGCGTAAAAAGACAGTATAAGTCATTATAATCAGTAATTATGTCCCCACTGGATGCAACAAATGCCTCGTTTATAATGGGTTTTATTGGTTTTGTCTTGTCGCTCCGGCCGGGACACATGGAAACACAGTATGGTAAGGGGCGTAACATTTCCGTCACACGCTTGAGGTATTCGGCCAATCACAACGCACTGGATAGCTGGCCAATCAGCGTACACCTCGCTTTTCAGAACGATGAGCTTTGTAAAAATCGACAGGTTTCAGAAAGTCGGGGCATAGAGGAGCAACAATAATGTACATTATGTGGAAAATAATGTGTTTTTTGAACTTTAAACCACATAAACACATTGCATTACACCAAATACACAAAAAAAAATGTTATTTTTATCAACGTCATATGACCCCTTTAAGACATTTCCCAACTTAGGAAACACATAGGCTCTATTATTTATTGAAACCCCATAAAACCCTCTAAACTATACAATCAACAGCTAAAAAGTGTGGAACATACCAGCTCTGCTTTATCCCCTTTCTCCCCAGGTTCACCTTTTTGACCCTGAAGACATTATGAAAAAGCAAAAGAATAGGAATACTCAATTTGACCATTCATTCAACATAATTCAAACTGGCATGACGAAATACACTGCATCCCAAGTCAAGCCATGTCATTTCAACAATGACAACAATCTGTTTGCTTGAGGGGCACCATTGTGTACCATTGGGCCTGGTAATCCTATATGGCCAGGGGGCCCTGAAACCCCCTTTTCTCCAGTAGGGCCATCTAAACCCTACAGAATGAAGAAATGGAAATTAAATTTGGCAGAAAAGTCAGTCGGGTGAACTGGGTTGATGAACATCACCTGACAGCCTCAACAAGGTCTACAACCAAGAGACCTTTGAACTCGTAGCATCCAACTTGTAGGATTAATGATTAGTAAAAAAGCATTTCAAGGCGTAATGCTGCCCTCCAACCACAAACTCTTTCAAAATTCATCGAAGCACTCAGGATGATCCCACATACTCAAATAACAATGACCGCATTTACATGCAAATAATTTTCTGATTAAGGTCTATATTTTGGTTAAGCCTTTAATCTGAAAAAAGATGTTTACATGTCCCACAGTTATTGAAATATCCCTATGTTCTTTTAACCAGACTATTAAAACAAGCAAATATAAATTTCCTTTGGAAATACTGGGCATGCTTTATTATTATTATTATTATTATTGTTAATATTATTATTCCAATACAAAACAATATTCCAAATAAAGATTACATGAATCCAAACTTTTCCTTACATGTATATGCCAACTATTTTATTAGTTTCTTGAAACTGAAATATTGGCATAATTTGGTTAATTTTGGCAATTGTAAATGTATTTACATGATGTTTACATATTTTGAATATTATGATATTTGGAATATCAGAATATTCTTTCATGCAGGGGTTAAAGGGCACAAGACCCTTGTGGTTATTTAACAATTAATGTATAGTCAGACAGACTATTTATGATGGGATTTAAGACGGGTACAGTCACTCACAGGTGATCCTGAGGGGCCCATGTCTCCCTTGTGTCCTTTTGCCCCAGGCAAGCCCATGACTCCTCCTTCTCCCTGTGGTCCCTCAGGTCCAGGAGGGCCGATGGGTCCCTGTTCTCCTGGCTTTCCTCTTGGACCCTAAGAAGTAAACAGGTGCAATCACTTTGCATACATGTATCCACCAATGGACTAATTGCAAAATAGTGGCTAAAATGTTTCATTTATTGTAAATCAAAAAAATATTATTTACCTTTTCCCCATCAAGACCAGGGGGACCTGGAAGTCCTACATCTCCCTGAGAAAAAAAAAGAAAAGAAAAAAAGTGATGTTTAATTCAAAATAACAAGGTAGTCTACAGTGACATGTCGCAAAATCATGGTATGCATGCTGCTTAAAAAACTTCTTCAAATCTCACCAGAATTTCATATGAATATTATCTGAAATTCACCTAATGTTATACACTGAGTATAAAAAGGGTAAGCATGAGAGAAGTTGGTCAGCTACCTTCAAACCGGGGGTGCCAGGAAGCCCTGGAGGTCCAGGTAGACCAGGAGGGCCCTAAAATAACAAAAAAATATATATACTTAAAACATCTGAAAGTAGTTGTCTGTTCATCTATTCATGTGCTCAAATACTCAAACAATATCTAGTTTCCCAACAAATACTTTTTCACCACAAATAAATACAAGATATAGAGAAGGCTTTTAGAGCAACACTTACCATTAAATGCACATTGCGAATATCCTGTAAAACAAAATTAAATTAGAGCCTTCACATAATACAAATGAATCTGCTGAATCGCTTATGTGAGGCGTAGACGTGAATATGCACTAGAACTAAATCATAATCAAATTAAAGTTTAAATTAAAACATTAATCTGTGTACATAAAAAATAAAGACATACATTTTCATTGTTGTTGATTAAAGTTTTTCCTGGCTCCCCAGTTGGACCTGGTGGACCCTGTTGAGCGATGGGGAAACACTCAGTTAATATATGCCATTATTTCTGATATCAACCATTCACATCACACTGTTAAACAAATCTGGTGACTTGCGTTGTTTTCTCTGTCAGTGACAAACCTGACAATGTGCACATTTCCTCTACTCACCCTTGGTCCAGATGGGCCTTCCTGGCCAGGATCACCCTGCAAGACAAAAAACATTAATTGTGCTATTTTCTCCAAGGACACATTTAAAATATAACAAGTTCATGTAGAGTTGTCATTCTTGTTCCTTTTTTTTTTTTTTCATAAAATGTCAATAGCAGCATATATAATGTGGAGAATGAGGGGTAGGTACCTTGGGCCCAGCTTGTCCTGGCTGTCCTGGGGCACCTGGTTCTCCTTTAATGCCAGTTCCTGCAGCACTAGGCTCGCCTTTCTCTCCCTAGCAATAAATAACAATCTAGAAGTTAACAAAAGATTCAAGATGCGGCTCTATATAACAAAGGTGTATAAAACAGTCTAGTGTGAGCATCTTGTTCCCATTTCCCTTTTGAAGCATTACAGTTAGCATCTTTACTTCACCACAGCTGTGGTACTTACACATAGGGAGCGAGAATAAAGGTGTGGTCACTGAAATACAACAAATATGGGCCACAGAATATGAGGTCGCCTAGGGCTTCTGTTTTACAGAAACACTAATTAAATCATACCAATTAACACATTAAAAATGTTAAAACATTTTCTTCTTCTATTGCCTGCAACACTGCAAGCCATGCAGATTTAATGCTCGTTTGCATGTGCATATGAAAATAAATGGAACACAAAGTGTTGTGAAACTGCAGCGTAATAATTTAATTGTTAAGCTTCAGTACAGACAAAGTAATATCTGAAAGTGAAATGAAACCGAGACATTATAACACCAAAAACAAACAGCACTGAGTGCAGACAGTCAGGTCACCACTTCACAGAATTTTTTAGACATGCATGTGTAATTAAAGTCAAATCAATGCAATTTACCAAAAATAGAATACATTCACACTAAATGTCAACCTTTATAAATAATAATAACAATGACAAAAGTACACTTACTAAAAACTTCAATTTACAGGAAAACAAAATATAGCTAACTCAAAATATGAATAAATACCATAATACTACATAAAATAACACTGTAAAGTTGGTGGAATAAGGTGCATGATTTGCATGGACCACTTTTATGGTGCTTTAGATTGTCATTTTGAAGCTTGACAATATCATTCAATTTAAAAGAATTGGTAAAAATTCTGTGTTCCAAGTCATACAGGTTTGGAACTGCAAATGGGTGAGTAAAATTCACCATCAATATTAAACATAACATCTAAAAACTGGGCTTGAGGGTTTTAGCTCATTATCAGAACAAGCACTAATGCAAGAAATAGCCACAGCACACATTTGGGTGTACCTTATAGCCCCGTTTTCCAGGGATACCAGAAACACCTGCCTGACCCTTCATATCGACAGAAAAACCTCCATCACTTCAAGAATTTCATATGATCAGCAAAATGTGTTAAAGATACAACCACACCAAACCAGGCCTTTACCTTTCGTCCAGGGGCGCCTGGGAAACCAGGCTCTCCCTGAAGGGTGCAAGACGTCAGCATTAGGAAAAACAAAAAGAAAGAAAAGGAAAACCGTGAGAATAGACCTAAACACGTCCTCAAATGCTGACCTTTGAAAAGTAACAAAGGAATCGGCATCATATATTTTGGCTGAAAAAGTCCTTTGTAATTTCAATTGAAGATTATTCTCTGTAATTATTCGGACAACCAGTGTTTACGTCGATCGTAAACCCCCAAGGGTCTATCAGATGTCATCATTTCTATTGAAGCAATTAGACAGCACGCGCTGGTATCAATATTTAAATTGGCATGTCGAAGTTTTTGCTCTCCAGGCACGCAAATAGCTGATCACTAGCATTACCGCAATGAGCCGGCCCACAATTGGTTTGTTATTAATAGTAAAGAGCACAAGACAGCTATTTAATTCATGTCTGTTATCTCAGACTAATGAGCAGACATGAAGGCAGTAATCTATAGACACAGCTGCGGCTGCAAGCGGACACTCGACCGATTGAGGTCGAGGGTGGCTGGGGGGTCTTGACTGCTAGTGGCACCATCCGTCTTTCTCCTGCCATCTCATTCCTCAAGTCTCAGACGCCACTTTACAGTGTCAGAGGGTGAGACGGTTATATGTGAGGTGCCTGTATAATGAGCTATCAATCACGCTCTGGTGTGAAAGCGGCTTTACATACAATCATAACAGATGAGATTGAACTCTCAAAGGAGCTGTTTAGCAGTGGAATGCTTCTGGAAGAGCATGCAGGGTTCTGGGAAAAAAGGATAGTTCTTTATAAAAGAATGGGTAAAAGGGAATGGATAGAGGCTGCAATAGAAGTGAACTACCTTCACTCCTTGTTTCCCAGGCATTCCAGGCATCCCTAGCTCACCCTGCAAAATCAGCATTAATTACTCATCTTTTCAATACATAAACAGTTACATTCATGAGCCAAAACCAAAGACCGCAATCGTAACGCAAGCAAAACACCACTGAAAGTCTTTTACTTCAGCAGGTTGTTAGACATGATGACAACCGAGTATTTCCCAGCACATCTGCTCACCACTGGACTGTATTTTGAGCTTACAGTTTTGGTTCCCACTGACTTCCATTGTATGGACCAAAAAAAAAATAATCTTTTATGTTCAACAGAAAGAAATGATGACAACTTTCATTTTTGGGTGAATTATGCCTTTAACTATTTAACCATCAGTGCTGGGACCTGTAACATGCATTAGTTAAACAGATTAATATACTTGTTAAGTAGTAAAGAATACAAGAATAGAATACAATTAAAATTTACACCAAAATATCAGTTATCACTTTTTCCAGATAAGTAATGCATATGCCTTTTCTACATATCTAACAATTTCTATGTACTTATATATTAATTATTTATTTTTGTATTATTTAAATAATGTATACATAATTTGTATTTTTTATCTATTTCAAAGCTCCCCTTTCCCATGCTGGAAGAAATAGGGGTGTAACAGTTGTAATAGAGTATGTGTGAACACCCTCAAATTTATGTTTTAAAAATGTCAAAATGCTGTTTCAGTGGAATTCAGCATTTACAAATAAAATATACATTTCTAATGCATTTTTAATGTACGGTAATGACTGCACGCCAAGCATAGCAATTCCACTGGAGGAAAGAGTTTCATTTAGCTTCAGTGAGAAAAAGTAATGCAATACTAACTTAGCACATCACTTTTCATAAAAAGAAGCATTTTAACAATTAATTATAATTTTAAAAAATCACCCAACACAACTATCCCAACAAGCATCCAGCTTTACTAGAAGACCATACTGGTTCACCACAAGACCAGCAGCAAACCACATCTAATCACCATCAGAAAATTTGAGTTTAAGCTGCTCTCTTTAGTAGGGTTATCAAACACACACACAAACAGGTAGATTGGCCAGCACACATTCATTACATTACATGGCAGTGCCACAAGAAAGCACTTGGACAACATGTCCAAAACGCCTCTACAGAAAACAACGCATGCCATTTGAAAACTGGCAGCCAGACAGCTGGCAGCTGAGGGCAGAGGTCAAAGATGGCATGAAGACTCCAGTGAGTCTGAGCAGGGGGCAAGTGGCAGAGCCTAGTGTGGCATAACCCGCTTTGACAGGTGCAGCGGTCAGACCTTGGAGAGAGTTGCAGGTTATCAAGAGAGCCAGACAGCATATGTGTGTGGTTTGATTAATGATCCAAGGCACTCTAGTGTGCTTTTGGGCCTGAGACAAGACTGCTTGTCATACTCAGCTGCCTTCATAAACTCTGTCCAATCAGGCACCAGAACGGGCGGCAGGGTTTGGACAAGGCACAGAGTCATTTGTGAGTTTATCCGTGTTCTCAGTAGATGAAAGAGCCCGACTCCATGTTACCATCCCGTTAAGGGAATGGAACGATGCAATGATTGTTGATCACTTTAATCGTGAAAGAGAGACTTCTCGGACACATGCTGAAAACAGGAAGTCTCTTTGATCTTCTTTATTTCCAATCAACTCACACCATTCCGTTAGGCTCCTCTGCCCATCGTCATGTCTCCTTCAACCCCGTCCACTTCTATTTTAAAGCGAATAGCGCTTGGTGGGGCAGAGGCTAGTGTGGACTGACACAGGCTGCAAGTGATTTATGGGAGTGCTAATCTTCAGGCTTAAAATGATGAGGACGGAGCCTTTTGAGTTGAGGGGAACTCTGGGAAAGTGAGGAGAACTGTCATCAGCACTGAGGAGAAGTGGCTGCGTTCTTTGCTGACAAACTTGATTCCTTCAGGACGGATCATAATAAGTAATGACTTACTTTGGCTCATATGAAATACGAGAGCATGGTATACATGCTTGGCCCGAGGTAAAAAGAGAAAACCGAAGAATGGAATTTCCAAACTAAACCTAATAAGTTCCATTTATATACATGCATCATATACTGCTCAAGTTCTTTAAGACACAAAGGGTCCTTGTGTGAAGAGAAAAACAACTATTAAAAATTTTGTCCTGAGTCTTTAAGAGGCAGTGTGTCAATTTGAGGCACTAGCAGCAACAAGAGTAATAGAAATCTGTTTGAATTTACATTCTGACAAAATGTTTGATTTATGCTTTAAAAAGCATAATCATAAATCCAACATTTTGTGAAGAACATTCACCAAGGCTGCATTTATTTGATCAAAAATACAGTAACAATAATATTGTGAAATATTACTGCAAATTAAAATAACTGCTTTCAAATTTAATGCATCTTAAAATGTAATTTATTCCTGTGATGGCAAAACTGAATTTTCAGCATCATTACTCCAGTCTTCAGTGTCACATGATCCTTCAGAAATCATTCTAATATGCTGATTTGCTGCTCAAGAAACATTTCTTATCAGTGTTGGAAACCATTGTGTTTGCATACAATGATAAAATTTTTCAGGATTCATTGATTTATTTTTAATGGAACTTTTTGTAACAATTTAAATGTCTTTACTGCTACCGTTTATTAATTTCATTCATCCTTGCTAATAATAATAATAATAAAGTATTAATTTTACTGACCTAAAATTTCTGAACAGTAGTGTATTCTCTGACAACATGACTTAATGCTGTACTCCAATACTTTTACTTCAAATTAATGTATTTTAGGATGTGAAGAAATATTCAGATAAAGGAAATGACTTTTTGCAGTAATTTATTCTGTTGCACCAGCTTCATGTAGCACATAAAAACCCACTGTAAAATCACTGTAATGCATGACCTCTCCTGACTTATTGCTTCAATAGCCCTTGGGTTCTCTGTTTTATCAATCCTGGTCTGCTGGGAGTGTGTAACTGAGAAGATTTGAAAGCCAATGTCAAAGAGAACAAAACAAAATGGCTCTCTTTGATCTCTGAGGTGCTGCACTTTAAATTCATGTCACGCCATCATCTCTCGTTCCTACTTGATATAAGAGTCTAATGGCAGAAGAATCACACGTGTTACATGAGTGAGTGTCTTTCACTGTGTTTGTGCACACTTCATTTTTACTGTAAATGTGTGTTACATTTTTTCTTGTTGGAGAGAAAAGCAGACAGTCTTTAACAGCCTCACTTAATACAGATGAGGCTCACCTGCTTCTGGCTGCAAAAGAGTTAATTTAGCGTTTGCTTATTTCCTTTTTATCTCATAAATTTTCACTGGCTTTCACTACACAAAACCCAATACTGACTAGTAATGACAGAGACAGATGTTTTTGAGGGAAGACAGCAGTTTCCCCAACAAATAGGTACTGTGTCGATACCATAGTAAAGTGTTGACATCCATTGTGGGTATACAATACTAGTTAAATGCTTGGACAAAATGGACTTAAAAGCTTAAAATGAGCTCTCTAGACAACAATTGTGCCTACATATGAATTTCTTTATGAAAATAAAATTTCTTTACAAGTATTTTAATGCATGGATTGGAACAAATAGAGAAGCAAAATCAACAAGTGTGCATCATACTGCAGATGTGAACTGTTTAAAATGTATCCCAGGATGCACCACGTTAAGTCAGTTGAGCAGAGCTGAAATGTAGGCAAAGACAAAGCTCAAACAAAGTCACTTTTGGTCACTATATAATCTTATTTCATAGTTTTGATGACTAATATTATTCTAAAATGTTCATGATAATAGTAATAAAACTGAAAAATAAATGTTTCTTGAGCAGCAAATCAGCACATTAGAATTATTTCTGAAGCATCATGTGACACTGAAGACTGGAGTAATGCTGCTGAAAATACAGCTTTGATCACAGAAATAAATTACATTTTAAAATATTTTCAAATAGAAAGCATTTATTTTAAATTGTAATAATATTTCTCAATACTATTGTTACTGTTACTGTTTTGACTTTTTTATCAAATAATTGCAACCTTCATATTGCAATCAAAGAGTATGGCAGCACATGTTTGGCAGGGACAACGGCAGGTAGCAAAAATAAGTGTGCCAAGTCCATCAGTCTGCATGTAACAGGGGACTCTCAAACAAACAGTAGGATTAGAGGCCTGTAAATCAGACGCACAGGTGCTCAAATGAAGGAAGTAGGGAATGTCTTGAGCTTGCGGCCTGTTTTTCTCTTAGCGTGCAATCCCTCTGGTCTCTCAGCATGAATCCGGGACTGAGTCATATGTCTTTGTGCACATCCTGGTTTCAGTTGCAAAGCATTTGTCCTGCCCTCAGCCCTTGTGAGTCCTTACTTTGGTAACGTAAGCCGGTGTCTAGCAGTGGTGCCGAGTCAATGAGGGTGGATGAGATATAGGAATGTACATTTAGGGCTGACTTAAAGGAACCTTTCACTCAAAAATGAAAATTCTGTCATTATTGACTCTCTGTGTAATGAACGGACCAAAACGTCCCATCCTCTGTAGCTCTCAACCCCAGGGCTCTTGTGTAGCGCTTTGTAATATACATGTATATATATATATATTTATGTTTTTGAAAGAAGTCTCTTAAGCTTACCAAGGCTGCATTTATTTGTCCAAAAATACAGTAAATACACTAATATTGTGAAATCTGTTTTGTATTTGAGCTATAAATAAAGGTAACTGAATGCAAAGCTGAATTTTCAGCATCATTACTCCAGTCTTCAGTGTCACATGATCCTTCAAAATAGTTCTAATAATTTAAAAATATAAATTATTCCAAAGTTTTGGAAGTGTATCCAAGAAGCTTCAGAACATTGGTGAGCATGCAAAAATATCACGATAGTTAGATTTTTGCTTTTCACACACATACAAACAAACCATCCAAAGTTAAATGCACAACAAATTACATTTCTCAGGCAGAGTACCTTCTCCCCCTTCTCTCCTCTTTGCCCATCCATCCCTGGTTCACCCTACACAAATGCACAGATGAGGACATCTTCAGCATAGCGACACACAAACACACACACACACACACACACACACACACACACACACACACACCACAAATACACACAAACTGCTGAAGGCCAACGGGAGCACATATGCAGACATGGGACATGTGATCCCAAAAAAAGTAATGAGTTGAGAAAGAGTTTTCATCTGCCACACTCTGATGCCAGAAGCCAGAAACAATAAATCGATGAAGATGATGATCTAGAGTAATCCTCTGATCCTGTGCACATCAGGACGTTTCACTATGGGGCTCTACAGGGTCGTCGGGGGGAGGTGGCAGGATGTGCAGAGGAAATGAAAATTCCATCAAAATCACGCAAGTAAAGGAGTTAAGTGAGACACAGAGTTCACATAAGATGTCTGGCCCATGGACTCAAGCCTCTGCGTCCTCCCTCGTCTGAACAGAGGGTTTATTAAACACCCCATGAAATTGTTTGGCAAGCACAGTTTTCTTTCCTGTGTAGTATTTTCTACTGAAACAGGTTTGGGCAGGACATACAACATATTTAAAAAAACAATAGCTAAATGTCCTTAGCTACAGTACATCACAGCCACAGCATGATATGCTATTTGCTAGTCAGAGGCAGTTGGTATCAGGTAGTGTTAGTTTAGTATTATTTAGTATTTGTGATTTTTATAGTATTTTATAATGATTCCACTTTTTATATATTTTTGTATATTAGTAATTCAAGTTTAATTATTTTTAGTAATTTTGTTACATGCTTTTGCCATTTTTCTATTTAGCTTTAAATGTAGTTTCATTTCAGTGTTAGCTTTAGTAATTTTAATACTTCAATTTATTTTATTTCTTTTAGTTGTAATTAAAAAAAATAGTGCAGGATGACTTGCTTTGTGCATTTTGAGTTCTGAAAGTTACAGTATGTTTTCATAATCCATTGGACATACTCTTGTATTTTAAAAGATCAAGGAAAATTGGCTTCCTCATGAGATGACCCTTTTAAGATATCACACCCTGTGTTTTCCCTGGCCAGTCCAAACAGATGAGTTCATTGAGGCTAACTATCACAGCATTAAGCAGCTAGACAGTCAGAATAGCTGTATCCTATTGGGACTATTTGTGCATCCGCAGGTGTAAACTTTACGTGCGTCCCACTCCTAATTACAGAGCAAAAGTCTCCTCAGTGAGAAACCGTGTAAGCACTCCAGCAGATGCATGTCTTTACTAGGAGCAATGCCTCATACATGTTATACAGTCATACAAACATCTTCAGATGTTTAGATTTACTCTCTACAGAACACTGCTCATTCAAGATGCTTCAGCCAATTAATAGGTTAAATATCTGCTTGGAATCTAACAAGATTCTAATAAGATTTATGAATCTAATTAGATTTACTGTATGTTTGACTTTAATAAACCACCCAAATGACATAATAATCAAAACTGAATTCAATCTGAGATCTGCATACATAGAACAACAATAAATGTAAAGGTGAAGTGTGCAATTTATGTGTCGCCACACGCAATTGCAAGTTGGTCTGCCATTGGCTGATCAAACAGTTAGCCCCGCCCCTAAACTCATGGTATTGGTTGAGTCAATGTTGGTATGTTGGGCTGGTTGAGAGTAAACAAACAGGTCAAAGTTTTGACGGCACTATAAGGACGGGACATTCACCCAACAAATAAGTTACTTACAGTTTAGTATTTTAACACAGACTAAAATTATTCATATCACTTTTAAACTTCCAACCATTATAAGAAAATTGCCATTTTTAAAACAATGAAGCAAAAACAGCAATAGCAAGAACCACGTGTTCCTTACCTTCATTCCTTCATCTCCTTTAATTCCCTAAAGAGAAACAGAACAAACAAAGTGATCAATATGCTATGAAATGCAAAAACAGCTTCTAAAAAGTCAAAAGGTATAATGTGACCTGCTTTTCCTTGATCTAAAACAACTAATTTACATCTATCAAAGCAACAGGGCAAAATCAGCAGAGTTTCAGTTCACAACATCATATGTATCTAAACGGCCCATTCAGTCTCCCGTTAAGTGGAGGAATTATTTTAGCAAACATTTCTGTTCTGTCATATTCAATGCCATATGGCTTGGCAGCACTGAGTAAATAGCTAAACATCCATGAAGGCAACAGACAGTCATTTTTCAGAAACAAAGTCTCGTGGGAGGAAGGCAGAGTCAGCCGTTGATTAATTGTGTTGGTAATGTGCCGAATAATGTGTCTCCTCTGATTTTAACCTTTTAATTGTAAATCCATTGACTTGGCCCTTCGCCTCTCTCACAGATTAATGTAAAGATGTCTCTTTTCCGAGTAGAAATAGTAGGCCAGACAGGAGACAACCTCAGTTCACAGGGGAGAACACCTTTTAGCCTGCCTCCCTAAATCTCCGGTTTTGTGAGCATTCATGAGCGCAGCGCCTGCCAATATCCAGAAGGTGGTGCAGTTTTGCAAAATAACTGCTTCTCTGTTTTAGTACAAAAGATTTCACCTGAGCTAGTGTAGTGAGTGACATGATGGGCAACCAAGTATGGTGTCCCATACTCGCAATTTGTGCTCTGCATTTAACCCATCCAAGTGCACACACACA